ATGACGATATTGTTACGATGAGTATGAATGATGTGAGTGAGGCAGCAGGTGGTGGTGGTGGTGATAGTGATGGTGGTATGAGTCATGTGGCACCAGCAGCGAGCCACGCTACTACCGATGCTGCTGACTCTGCACAACCAAAACCAGCCTCACCCAACCCCACACTCCCACAACATCCACAACCACAACCTGCACAACCACAACCTACACAACCACAACCTATATAACCACAACCACTTTTCAATATCCAGAACCCACCAGCTGACCACATCTGGGATTGGCAGCAAGGTGATGAGTTTGTTCCCAGTCCCCATGACTTTGATGAAACACAAAGTGGAATATGGCCATCATGTACACTTGGGAACAATGCCACTGAACTGGAATGCTTTCAGCTGTTCTTCGATGAACCCCTGATGGACATTATTGTCAGGGTAAGCAATACATACTTTGAGTACACCATGGCAAACACAATTCTTTCGCCAAGATCACGCCTACACCAGTGGAAGGACACAACTGTGGCAGGGATGTATCTGTTCTTCGCCACAATAATGCTTATGCCACATGTGTATAAGCACAGTGTCAACACATACTGGTCGACAGACTGTCTGATTTCAACCCCAGCTTTCACTGACATTATACCAGTGAATAGATTTGTGCTACTGTTACGTATGCTACACTTTTCAGACAAAACAAGGCCTGACAGAAGCGACAGGTTATATAAGATCAGAAATGTGTTTATGTACCTGAAACAAAAGTGCTGTATGTATTTTTATCCCTTCAGGAACCTTGTTATTGATGAGTCTTTGATTTTGTTCAAAGGAAGACTCTCATTCAAGCAGTATATACCAAGCAAGAGGAAACCCTTTGGTATAAAGTTATTTGTACTGTGTGATTGCAATAGTGGTCTGGTTTTGGATATAACTGTGCACATTGGCAGTAAAACATTGCAAGATACCAGGAAGTTACTGGGTATCTTTGGTGATGTGGTTAGAATAATGATAGAACCATATCTTGGTAAGGGGCATACTTTATATACTGACAACTGGTACACATGCCCTTTACTCAGTGATTTCTTGCGAGTGAACATGACAGATGTGTGTGGCACAGTGTGTGGAAATTGTAAGCATATGCCTAAGTTCGACGCTGGCACTCGTAGAGGTGATGTTCAGGTGTTTGCTGCCAATGACATCATGGCATTTTGGTGGCATGACAAACGTGATGTCACACTGTTGACATCAGTTCACTGACACGAAATGGTAGATAGTGGCAAGCAGAATAGAGAGACCAATGAACCCATTCTAAAACCTGCAGCTGTGATGGATTACAACCTCAATATGCACTTAGTGGACAAATGTGACATGCAGATTGGGTTTGCTGATTGTGTTCGCAAGAGTTATAAGTGGTACATAAAACTCTCTCTCCATATTCTTGACATTTCCATGCTGAATGCTTATAATATGTATAAGTTGAAGACCAACAACAAACCCAAATATGGTGAATTTTGTTTGTCAGTCATCAGACAAATAATATTCAAGTACCAAAGAACAACACTTGCAACAGACCAGTGCCCACGAAATTATCAACACGTGTCCTCTCATCTGAGGCCTGGTGATCACTACCCCATACCACTGCCTGCTACTGCTCTCAAGAAAAATGCTCAGAAGAGGCGTTCTGTCTATGGGCATACCACAAAACGCCCACAAAAATGCAGAGACACTCGTTTTATGTGTGAGGAGTGTAAAACACCATTGTGCTTATACCCATGTTTCAAAGAATTCCACAAGCTGCAGCAGTTCTAGAAAAGTGTCCAATCATTGTACATATGTATATATATTATAGAACAATCATAATAAAATTTTTTTTATATTGTTTGTTTGTGTAAACAAGTTTTATAAACATTATGATGATAGTGTTTTTGCTATAATTGTGTTACATTCAACGAGTGTATATATGAACATTGCACCATACTTTTGTCTCACAGGCCACAAAAGTTATGTGAAAAAATAAAATATTGAAAAAAAAAAAACAAGAAACCTTCAATAAAAGTAAACCAAAGTTTACCGGGCGAGCAGCAGTCGCCGTTGTTGTCACACGCAGCTCATTTTCTGCAAACTTCACGCCTCTATATCTCGGTAAGTACTGATGGGAATTTTTTTTTTTGACTAAAACAATCAGAAATCTTAACATTTTCATAAGAAAAAATAATTTTTTTTTTTTGAATATTTTGCGACACCAGGAGACACTTCAGGATTGGGCCTTGCAACAGTCAAAGGGTTAATGTGCCTCAGTTATCATGTTTATATGTTGTGTAGCATGTTTATTATATAATTTTGAAAAAATATAAATGGATTAATGAAAAATTTTTATATTAATGTAATATATGACATTTAATGCACCTCAGAGTACTCACCTATTTGTTGTTACAGGGGTTGAGACTCATTATTAATATGGCATTCTCAAGACTACTAAGACACTCTTAGTGATTTTAATGTGTACCTACATGCCAGCACAGTGTGTAAGTTTACACAGGTACAGGTACACATTAAGTACAGTGGACCCCTGGTATTCGATATTAATCCGTTCCTGAGAGCTCATTGAATACCGAAAATATTGAAAAGCGAATAAATTTTCCCCATAAGAAATAATGGAAATCAAATTAATCCGTGCAAGACACTCAAAAGTATGAAAAAGAAAATTTTACCACGTGAAATATTAAGTTTAATGCAACAGAATAATTACAATAAAAACAATATCAATAGAATAATAACAATAGAATAATTGACACTTACCTTTAATGAAGATCTGGTGATGATTGATGGGATGGGAGGAGGGGAGGGTGTGGAAGTTATTATTTAGAAGGGGAATCCCCTTCCATTAGGACTTGAGGTAGCAAATCCTTTTCCGGGGTTACTTCCCTTCTTCTTTTAATGCCACTAGGACCAGCTTGAGAGTCACTGGACCTCTGTCGCACAACAAATCTGTCCATAGAGCTCTGTGCCTCCCGTTCCTTTAAGACTTTCCTAAAATGGGCCATAACATTGTCATTGTACAGGTTGCCAACACGGCTTGCAATAGCTGTGTCAGGGTGATTTTCATCCGTAAAGGTTTGCAGTTCAACCCACTTTGCACACATTTCCTTAATCTTTGAAGTAAGCAACTTCCTCAATTTCTCTCTCCCTTCCTCTGAAGCAGTTTCCTCAGGTCTGGCCTCTTGCTGTTGAAGATGATCTTGCAGCTCATCAGTGGTTAGTTCTTCATTGTCCTCCTCCACCAACTCTTCCACATCCTCCCCACTAACCTCCAACCCCAAGGACTTCCCTAATGCCACATTGGATTCCACAACTGGCATACGCTTCTCAGGGTTAGCCCCAAACCCTTCAAAATCCCTTTCATCTACACATTGTGGCCACAGTTTCTTCCAAGCAGAGTTCAAGGTCCTCTTAGTCACTCCCTCCCAAGCCTTACCTATAAGGTTTACACAACTGAGGATGCTAAAGTGATCTTTCCAAAACTCTCTTAGAGTCAAGTGAGTGTCTGAGGTCACTTCAAAGCACTTCTGAAACATAGCTTTTGTGTAGAGTTTTTTGAAGTTGGAAATGACCTGCTGGTCCATGGGCTGCAGGAGAGGAGTGGTATTAGGAGGCAAAAACTTGACCTTAATGAAGCTCTTGTCCCCAGAAAGTCACTCTGCCAAGTCTGAAGGATGACCAGGAGCATTGTCTAATACCAGGAGGCACTTAAGGTCCAATTTCTTTTCCATTAGGTAATTTTTCACAGTGGGGGCAAATGCATGGTGTAACCAGTCATAGAAAAAGTCCCTAGTGACCCATGCCTTAGTGTTTGCCCTCCACAGCACACACAAATTAGCCTTGAGGACATTGTTTTGCCTGAACGCTCTGGGAGTTTCAGAGTGATACATCAATAAAGGTTTCACTTTGCAATCACCACTAGCATTAGCACACATCAAAAAAGTAAGCCTGTCTTTCATAGGCTTATGTCCTGGGAGTGCCTTTTCCTCCTGAGTAATGTAAGTCCTGCTTGGCATTTTCTTCCAAAACAGGCCTTTTTCGTCGCAATTAAACACTTGTTCAGGTTTAAATTCTTCACTGTCTATGTACTCCTTGAATTCCTTCACATATTTTTCAGCCACTTTTTGGTCCGAACTGGCAGCCTCACCATGCTTTATCACACTATGTATGCCACTACGATTCTTAAATCTCTCAAACCAACCTTTGCTGGCCTTAAATTCACTCACATCACCACTAGTTGCAGGCATTTTTCTAATTAAATCATCATGCAACTTCCTAGCCTTTTCACATATGATCGCTTGAGAGATGCTATCCCCTGCTATCTGTTTTTCATTTATCCACACCAATAACAGTCTCTCAACATCTTCTATCACTTGCGATCTGTTTCAAAAACAAACTTGCACCTTTTGCAAGAACAGCTTCCTTGATTGCCGTTTTGTTGGCCAAGATAGTAGCAATAATTGATTGGGGTTTGGTATACAACCTGGCCAGCTCCGAGACACGCACTCCACTTTCGTACTTAGCAATTATCTCTTTCTTCATTTCCATAGTAATTTTCACCCTTTTTACCACAGGGTTGGCACTAGAAGCTTTCTTGGGGCCCATGGTGACTTATTTTGCAGTTACAAGCACTAAAAACACTGTGATAATATGAAATGTACCGAATGTATGCTTAGATGCGACCGCACTGGCTGGCTTGTAAACACTGGCATCCACGGGGCAGCTGAGGCCACACGTGTGACGCGTCCTGGACGAATCACATAAGGCGAGTTTTTTATCGTGAGGCGAGGCAAAATTTTTGCGTTCAAATACTTCGTATGGCGGATTTAACATAACGCGATGCGTTCGTAAGGTGGGGGTCCACTGTATTTCCTAATAAATAAATAATAAAAATAAATGAGAACAATTCAGTGGGAGACATCCAATGTGTTAGAGAAAAAACTGAAGAATTACAAAATAATAGTTAATCACCATGAGCTGATCGCAGGTGAGTGTTGAGGCTATGTTTAGTAGCTAACACAGCACCACAGACACTGCAAGTGAACCTGCTGCTCTCTTTACGCTTGCAATTTTCTTTAATATCTGCCTCAAAACTGCATACATGACGGTCCAAGCTCTCCTGTAAAAAAATACTTTATTATAAAAATGAGATATTTCCAAGGATTACGTAGTCAAATTAAACATTCCTCTCACTTTCAAGGGCATAAACACTAACTATAATCCACATCTCACATTTATTCTACCTAATTTTCAAATTTAAACCGATTATACCTCCCTCCTTTCTACAGTTAATCATTAAATATTACTGTTCTAATTCTTTCAGATATACCTAATTTAATCCTGTTTATTCATCCCTATTGAAAATCTCTCAACTCTTTCAGCTTTGTTTCACTAAGAGCTAGGACATCTAGATTCTTTTCATTCATAAAATTAACAATCAATTCTTTCCTTTCTGTCTGCCAAGACTTACTGCCAATTTTGTTACAGGTAACTTTAAAATTTCCTTGTCTTTTCAGTAACTGATATTGAAGAAAGAGTTACTAGCTCTTTGCTCCTGGCATTTTAGTCACCTCCAATGGCATGCACTGCTTATGGAAAAGAGGCAGCATGAAGGAAGGGCTTGGGAGCTGCAGCCTCTTAAAACTCCTTCAGTCCTTCAAAGCCCCCAAATATAATAACAATAACTCTGCCTCAAACAAATCCCTCAGCATCCCCTTCAAATTGGACAGCCACATTTAAGCCTCCCTAGAATAGAAATTCTGGGGCTGTCCCAGTTACAGAGGAAGAATTATAACACACGTTCCCATGGAATTTGAAAGGAAATGCAATAAGTACAAGAACAAATAAAGAAATCCAGAAGAAAACACAGATAACTGCATATAAATACACAATTATATGCATGTTTGCATACATAGTAGGGCCCTGACTTACAACACTCCAGGTTTCAATATTTTGTTTGCTGATAATACATTTAATTTTAACTAAATCACACACCACTGATTGTACAGTTGACCCTTGAACAACATGGGTCCACTTATATGCGTTTTTTTTTTCAATAAATATATAGGAAAATTTTTTTGGAGATTTGCGACAATATGAAAAAAACTTGTAGATGAACCGTGTAGCCTAGAAATATCGAAAAAATTGATAAAAAGTTAGGTATGTCGTGAATGCATAAAATATATGTAGATACTAATCTATTTTATCATTTACTACTATAAAATACAGGCAAATCTATTATAAGAAGTTAAAATTAATCAAAACTGACAGATCGTACATGGCGCCATTCGAAGTCAACAAAAATGTAAACAAATGTAAAGATGCAGTATTAAATCATAAGTGCATAAAATTAACTGAAGTACATACCATACTACTGTAATAATTTTGTAGCCACCTCCTATTGCTATTGCGGTGAGCTCCAGTGTTGTGAGTATCCTCTCAAAATGCCATGTGATGCTAATCATCTCCATGTGAGCAGTTTGTCTCTCCAGTAAATTGCAAATCAAAATAAAAAGTGATCCCTTGTGATTCTCGTGTATTTTTCATGCTCAGTAAACCTTGAATAACACAATGAGACCCAAATGTAAGTACTGACTTGACTCACGAAATCGTAATGACATGATTGAGAACAAACCATACCACAGGTGGGGTTAGAACCGATGATCTGGAGTTTTGAGACTCTCTGATCGCGGGCTCTAACCCCGCCCGTGGTATGGTTTGTAGGTACTGACAGACGGACGATTCATCTTGTAATCAGATGATGTAAACATACGGTATCAATAAATACAGTAGAGCACTGTAAATGTATTATCTCTTCCTTATGATTTTCTTAATAACATTTTCTTTTCTCTACCTTACTTTATTGCAAGAATACAGCATATAGTACATATAACAAACAAAATATGTGTTAATCGACTGTTCGTGTTACTGGTAAGACTTCCGGTGAATAGTAGTCTATTAGTAGTTAAGCTTTTGAAGAGTCAAAAGTTGTACATGGATTTTCAACTGCGCAGGGGGATGTCAGCGCCCCTAATCCCAGCATTGATCAAGGGTGAACTGTACTGATAATCTTACAGATAAATGCAAGTTTAACACAAATCTTCAATTAGGCACAGCATAAGTTATACCTTTCTATAGTAAGATCGTCTACATGATACACATGTATGTGGAGGAGGGCCATGTACTGCAAAATGGCGGTTGAGTGCCTGCACTGACCGAAACACAGCACTACACTGGTCACAAGGTTGATCAACGTCACAAACATGAACCTCTGAAATCACAGTTATAAATCAGCTAAAAAATTATTAGAATAAAAATTTCAGGTAGAATTAAGTTATGTATTGATCAGTCATTAAAGTGACTTTTTTTGAAGATTTAACTATGAAGAAAAACATGAAAATAATGCTTCTGTGATTTTCTTAATAAAAGATACTTTGACTCCTAGTTTCTTACTTTGATTAACTTCCTCTTCTTGAGATGACAGCCACAAGGAGAATCTTCTACAGACATTGGTGATGATTTCAATTGTTAATATAGCTGAGGAAGCATTGGATATGCAGTCTCTCCTAACTTAACAATGGGGTTCTGTTCCTAAGAGTAGGTTGGTAAGTGAACTGGTTGTTAAATGAGGAACATACTATACTGGTAGTGGGTTTGTGTCAACCATCTTTAGATATTTTTTTAATGTCACCTTTGCACCATTTATAACATTTCTAGTATATTTTTAAATGCTTACAAAATAGTGTACTGTATACTGTAATAAGCAGAATAGAGGAAATAAGCTCTAATATACATTAGATAGGTCTGCATACTGGTTGGAGAGCTGGTTGTAAGTCCGAGAAGTCGGTAAATGAGTACGTTGCTAAGTGAGGAGAGTCTGTACTGTATTTGTAAAATAATTCTCTTTGTTTATTTCACAAAACACATGCCACCTGCTTCCATTAACCCCCTGACTGTCGCAACCCCAAATCCTAAGGTATGTCCTAGTGTCGCAGAATTTCCGAAAAAAAAAATTATTTTTTCTTATGAAATGAAAGAGAATCTTTTCCCGATTGTAATGACACCAAAAGAACGAAAATTGATGGAAAACTGATGGAATTACGCTCTCGCGAAGTTAGCGACATCGGCAATATTTAAGAATCGGCGATGTTGCCCACTTTGAGCTCTATTTTTGGCTAATTCCATTGCTCCAGTCAACCAAACTCATAGCTATTTCTTTAGAACTTAATTTTTCTATCGACTGAGTACAAGAAACTGCCCATTTATCGATTTCAACTACCCAATAACGTGGTCAGAAATTTGCAATTTGGACAATTTCATGAAAATTAAAAAATATGACAATTTCAAAACAGGGTCCAGAATGAACAATGCAGACATTCCTGGTTCTAAAATAACATTTTCTTTGTTCATCAGTCACATCTCCAGGCCCCTGTGATATTACTCTTGCTTTCTATTTTGAATTTTTATTCAAACAAAAAATAGAAGATTTACTGTTATGCAGACCACTGCAATATTGCCATAATTGTATAAATAATGTCAACCCATTCATGACTGCATATTAGAATGGCTACTTGGATATCTATTGGAAAATGACATCATTTGTTTACTTTTGAACATCGGCAAATATCAAACATTTTTCCTACTTTGAGCTCCATTTCAAGGTTCTTTTCATAGTAAAACCAATCAAAATCACCTCTATTTCTATAGTATGTTTTCCATTCTATCAAATGAGACCAAGAAAACGAGAATACAACCATAAATACTATACAAAAATAGACCACAAAGTTGGCATTTTAATTAAAAAAAAAAAGTCGGAGTTTTTTTCTCATTATGCACTGCGTGTTGCAGGATTTTTTATATGGTGCACACTGACCACACAGACCCATTCTCTCACATGTGGGCCTACCAGCTTTCTCCTGCTTGATCTGAAGCCGCTAGAATTTATGAGTATATATACGTCAAACACGGTGGCTCGTAAGACGTATGTACAGTGGACCCCCGACATTCAATGGCATCGACATTCGATGCATTTTAACGCAAAAATTTCGCCTCGACATTCGATGGAAAACCCGACATTCGATACGATTCGTACGAGACGTGTCCACGTGTGGCCTGAACTGCCCCGTGTGTGCCAGTGTTTACAAACCAGCCAGTGTGCGCACATCTACGGATACATTTGGTACATTCCATATTATCCATATTATCACTGTTTTTGGTGCTTGTTTCTGCAAAATAAGTAACCATGGGCCCCCAAGAAAGCTTTTAGTGCCAACCCTTCGAGAAAAAAAGGTGCTAATGACTATTGAAACGACAAAAGAGATAATTGCAAAGTACAAAAGTGGAGTGCGTGTGTTGGAGTGCATGATGATTTGGTAAAGAAATTGCCTGCAACTAGTGGTGATGTGAGTGAATTTAAGGCCAGCAAAGGTTGGTTTGAAAGATTTAAGAATCGTAGTGGCATACACAGTGTGGTAAGGCATGGTGAGGCTGCCAGTTCAAGTCCTAATGGAAGGGGATTACCCTTCTAAACACTAACACCATCCACACTCTCCCCTCCTCCATCCCATCAATCATCACCAGATCTTCATTAAAGGTAAGTGTCAATTATTCTATTGTTATTAATCTTTTGTTATTGTTGTTATTGTAATTAATCTATTGCATTAAACTTAATATTTCATGTGGTAAATTATTTTTTTCCATACTTTTGAGTGTCTTGCACGGATTAATTTGATTTCCATTATTTCTTATGGGGAAAATTAATTCGACTTTCGATATTTTCGACATTCGATAGCTCTCAGAAACGGATTAGTATCGAATGTTGAGGGTCCACTGTATATGACCGAAACAGTCAAACGGTTAAGAAACAGTGTGTGTGGAAAGAAGCATTAATACGCAGAATGGCACAGATTAAAAAAATCAAGAGAATGGACCCACTAGTGCCTACATTTCAAAATCAAAAGGCCTGCAAAAACCCCTCACAGACATAAACATCTACAGAGTACCACAGTCAAACATTTACCACTTTAGTGAAAAATTAGGGAATTTGATAACTGATGCAAATATGAACAAAGACTACCTACTACTAACAGGAGATTCCACCATAAATCTACTACATGACCAGGACCCACAAGTAACTGAATTTACAAACACTATGAGCAACTGCTTGTTGCTACCAACAATTTCAAAACCTACAAGAATCTCCCAGAATAGTATCTCTTTATTGGACACATCTGGACTAACACCATATCCCCTTTAAAATCAGGCATAATCACAGACAACACCACAAACCACTATCCTACCATTCTCATAACCAATCTAGGTAAATTGCCCCAAGACACTACTAAAGTTACCTTCAGACTGCATAACAAAACAGCTGTAAATAACTTTATAGCAGCTATGAATAACATCGACTTGCATAAAGAGCTTGAAACATATACAGACACTAATGAATGTATTAATAATTTTATAAAAAGAACTCACTACCTCTATAACAAGCAATGCCCTAAAAAAACTAAACAGCTCACAGCAAAGAGACTAAATAGTCCCTGGTTAACACCCACCATCCTCAAATCCATTAACACAAAGCACCAATATGAAAAACAGTACAGAATGGGTCAAATAACTAGAGATCAGTCAAAATGTTACTCATCAGCCCTTACCAGCCTGATAAGAAGGTCAAAAAAAATTGTATTATGAAAACAGATTACAAAACATCAAAGGTGATATAAAAAAGACCTGGAGAACCCTATCTGAAATTCTAGGAACTAAAAGGATATCCAAAAACAAAATCAAATTAACAAAATCAGACGAACCCCTACTCCCACCAACTGAAACAGCAAACAGACTCAATGTTTTCTTCTCCACCATAGGAAAGAATCTAGCAAGCAAAATGCCAAACTCAAACACCCGTCCATCAGACTACCTCACAGGCACCTACCTGCATACACTATTCCTAGCTCCAACCAACTCACCAGGTCTCGCTCATCAACACCCTTAACCCCTAAACGGTCCAAACGTATATATACATTCTTACGCATAGCGCCATAAACGTATATATACGTTTTAATTTTCCTGTGTCCAAATTTGGCATGATTGGCCTGAGATGCCTGGTCAGCATAGAATGAATCTTAACACTTGGTGTGCGCAGTATTAAAAAAATCTGGGACCACTTAGTACCTTGTGGGAGCACCAGTTAAATTGAGCACCAGCTAGAGCAAACAGTGAGGCAAACACCAAGGATTCACTGATGTAATGTCATATTAACACTCCTCTTTTAAGAGGAAAGTGATGTTAACCCCAAGTTTAGGGTCTGTCTATCTCTGTCTATCTGTCTGTCTGTCTATCTCTGTCTCTATCTGTCTCTGCCTTTGTATATCTGTCTCTGTCTATCTCTTTCAATCTGTCTCTGTCTATCTCTGTCTCACAGGTACACATAAATACAAGTATACGAAGTATAAATTACCTAGGATAACCCAAAAAATCCAGACAAAGTGCTATACTCTGCTTGAAGATGTGAGTAAACGTGATGATGTAGTCTTGTGGCTCTCTCTGAGACAAAGAGCTAGATGGATAGACAGATAGACAGGGACCTTGACAGACAGACAAATAGACAGAAATGTTTGTGTACCAGCGAAAACAAAGGGAGGGCGATGCTCATCAAATGTCACCTCTAATCTTTTCTTATTACTGCACCCTTGTGAATGCCATCAACGTAGCTCGAGCAAAGTACTCAGAGCAGCACTGCAGGGGTGGATGAAGAGTATTCGATGCTTAAAGGCAATAGTATACCTATGTATATTACAGTCTCGCTTCCTGCAGCACTACACTGTCCGCACTCCACACGATCGCTCCTTGACCTCACTCAGCGCCTCGCGACCTGAGCCGACCTTCAGCCCGACGTCTCTCCTCGCCGAGACCCGGCGTCCTCCATCCTAGCACCCTCACTCCTCCCTAACGCAACCTCCTCCCCCTTCTCACACTACCGCATCCGCCATCCGTACGACTCCACGCACTCGACTTCTCCTGATCTGCCCCTCACTGTCCTCTACGACGCCTCCATCCTACACGCCACCGTATCTCCTCCCAGATGACACAGTCTGACCTTCACGCTCCGATCACTGACATTCTCTGCTCCCCTCATCGACACGCTCTACATTACTTCCTCGCTCCCTTCCCTCTACACTACTTCACTCAACTCATCCTGACCATCACATCTTCAGATTCCTCCATTCTTCATTCTCACTGACATCGCCCTCCTGTATTCACCCACCT